AAAAAAAATTTCAATATAAAATTCTCGCGTGTCGGGTTATTTTTTTCTTAAGTGATACGAGCGTTAACTAATGTGTGATGATAATGCGGTGATACTTTATCCGTGAATAACATTATATTAAAAATTATGTGGATCTCAAGAAACATAGTCTCTTTTTATTTGTTGCTCCGTAAATGTTTTGAAAATAAATTACCATATTTGAACATCTAGTCCTTTGTTGCATGATGAATGCAAAATAATTTTCACTTATTTCTGGGAAATAACTTTTTCCTTTGGATAATTCCTTTTTCCTTTTAGGATTTTTTTTTAAATCTAGGTCAATCAAATACACCTTTTTCTAACTCGGCATTGAATTGGCTTAGTTAGGAGTTAATAATTTTTGGTAATTCATGCCAGGAAGAATTAATTAAGACGGGATTAAAAAAAAAAAAATTTCCATTTTTTATTTTTTTCATAACGGGGATTGGCTCTTTTGGGGGGCTAAAAATAGGATTGACATACAGTAAAAACAATGGATATGAATGTGATTATGTCATCATATGAAAATTTAATGTATTACCGAATATTTGGGATGATGTTTATGTAATGAATTCAGATAAAAATAAAGCGATGTAAAAGGGGTTCAATTAAAATAAAAAATATTTCATCATTCACATCAATTTTAAGCAATGTCATTGAACCAATTGGTTTCGTTGTATGATTTGAAATCATGACATTTTTATTACAACGTTCAATTGAATTTTTTTTTTTTTTAAAAAAAAAAAATATTAAAAAACAAAGGGAAAACATTTGAAATTTACCGTCAAACATTTCGTGACACATCTTCAAATATACAATCCTTCTTTTGGTTGCAATGGAAGCTTTTTCCTACTTGTTTCTAAAAAAAAATAAATATATATGATGCTATGTCGTGACATGACGATGATATCACGTTGCTAATTAGGTATGAATTGCGTGTCTTTTTTTATTTTATTATTATTATTATTAATATTAAGTATTGTTCAGATTATTTTTTTTGTATTATTAATTGACGACAAATGTAGAAAACCATTTCCTTTTTAACGTAAGCGCTTTTATGTTTATTTCCTTTTTTTTTTAATCAAAAGATGTTTGGAATGTAAGAAGTTTCTTTAGAAAATGATTTGAAACAATCAGAATCTTTCAACCCATTTGCCATACGCGTTTTGTAATGATTTAGAAATTCAAGGACAAAGAATACCCGTTATTTCTATTATTAATTAAAGTAAGTGTATAAAGTGCTAAACAAATAAAATGTAAATAAATAAATATTATATGGCACATGTGAACATATTATGTGTATTATTTATTTTATGTGAAAAGGACTTTATTTTATTTATTTTTATTGTTTATAGATTATATATTATGTAATTTTCCTACGCATTCATCAAATAATTCATTAAATGCCGATTTGTAATACTTCTATTTGATTGAGATCTTCGTACATGGATGGATATTGTATGTGCGTTTAGTGGATACACGGCTTGACCATTCATTATTATTTTTTAGTTTTTTAGTGTCAAATATTTTTGGATCATCGAAAACACGATCCGAACGCAAAATTTGATGCATCTATTTCCGCTGCGTGGTTTGTCGCTTTAATATGATTTACTCTTCCGCGATGTATCGTTTTATGAATTTATTTCGTCTTACTTTTTTTTTTTTTTTCAAGACGTTTTTTTGGATAAAGGTGAAGTTTATTAATCTTTTTAATCTTTGTCAATTTATCAGAATTACATACGTCTCGATATTAATATTAAAATTTTGTCAATAGACTTCACACAAAGGGGATTTATTTTGGGGATTACAAAAGTTCTTTAAAAGTGATTTATACTATATCAAAAGGTTCATAGGTCAATTTCTTAGCAAGAATCCATATTAATGTAACATGCAAGTAATATTTATTTATTTATTTATTTTTTTAAAAAGAAAAAAGAATGAAATTTTGAATCTTCGATTAAAAGTAGACCTGGGCTGGTAGATAAGAGTGTAACCTTGCTATTGTAATTGGAAGGGTTGTTTTGTAATTGAGGTTCTATTCATTTACCCTTTTTTTTTACTATTAGAAAGAAATTATAGGAACCCAGGTCCTCGAGCAAGTTCGCCATTTTTTTTTATAAAAAAATATGAATTTTGAAGGAACTTTTTTTTTTTTTTTTAAAAAAAAAAAGGGGGATGTGATGTTCCTTCCAAGATTCGTATGTTAGGCTGTCGGTGAACCAATATTTCGATAATAGGTCATATTGAATAATGAAGAACTTTAAAGTTAAATATTCCAAATTTTTATTATTTTTATTTTTTTAATTTTTCCGTTACGAAATTACAAATAAATAAAGAAACAACCCGTTAACAAGTGGGCTCCTTTCCTTTTTCATTATCATAACCATGAGCTCGTATAATGATAAGGACGATGATTGAACAAATAAGGCTACATGCTGATAACATAATAGCGGGACCGGTTTGATAATCTATGATACCGGGAAAAGAACGAAGACAAACTACATCAAAGATTATCAAGATTTTTGAAGTGCTAATTATAAAACCTAAATTAAGGGTGATCGTTGTAAGGATTAAAAAGTTAGTCATTGAATAAAATAAGATGTCAACTTTTTGAACTTTTTGATTGATCATTAATAATATCAAAGTTATAAAATCAATAACAGCAGCGGCTAGGATGGGGTAAGCTAAATTACGACCGAATTTCACGAAAGCTTCTAATATCTTTCGAAGAGCCTCAAATGAGTTAAGTTCATCTTTTCCGTCCCGTTTTTCTATTTCTCCCGATTGGTCTTTATCGAAATTTGGTACTAAAAAAAAAAAAAAAATTTGAACAAATTTTAGAAATTTCACAGAAAATGAATGATTATCCTCACCTTTCATACAGTTTATATCACCATCGACACAAAAGTAATCGAAAAGGGAGAATTTTACAGTTTGCATGCCGGTGATATTTTTATTTAAGGTGAATTGACTTATATAAACACCTCTAGTTAATGCGCCAATCAATATGGAAATGTACAATATTAAGGACAAGGAAGTTACAAATATAGAGACGTATCTCCACATATCTTTATGTTGAAATAATTTGGTAAGGTTCGCAATCATCTTGTTCTCTGACATATTTTGTGTATTTTATATATATATATTTTTTATAGTGAAGGAATTTTCTTTTTTTACAGTCCGGCTGTAATCTATTTGTACAAAGGAATGGAATATCGTAACAATTAAGGAAAAAAAAATAAAAAAATAAAAAAATAAAAAAATGGAATACGGTATTTTTTGTAATTTTTTTCTTTTTGGGTAAAGTCCAATCCATGATGAATTTATAAGAAAATTCGAGAGTTTCATGTTGAAGATCCTTACTTTTATGCGCAGCTTCATTGTATCCCGAAATGTTTAATTACTTACCTAAACAAGCTAAACAAGGGAAACAACTTGTTTCTGGAAAACAATACAATGAATTTCACGGGACAATGTATGCGACATTTTATACAATCCCAACCTAAAGATTTTCAAACATAAAGATCAATTGATAAGGGTCCAATTTATTTTTGGTGTACATTCTCGGATTTAAAATGAAACTATTACATGTTAAGACTAATCAAAAGTATAAGCAACCAAACTGCCTTTACTATCCATCTCAAATTTCAAATTTAGAATTCGGCTACTAGCTAATAAAGAGATAGTATCCAAGCATGACGTATTTTTTTACACTTTCATTTTCATATCAAAAATTGCAGGAAGTTCGTCTATGAAAATCAGCATATTTTAAAATATTTTTTTTTTATTAAAAAAAATAAAAATAAAAAAAAAAATAAAACATGTTGAAAGAAATTAAACCTTATTTTGGAGCAATTGAGCAAATAAAGTTCTTTTGGATACCTTGGGAAGATTGATTCTTGGCAGAAGGTGTGGAAGCAAACTGCACTGTTACTACTGCTTGCTGTTTTGCAAATAATAATTATTATGTAGAACGGTATAGTATAGAACGGTACATAGGGAAGTCAAATAAGTAGTAAAACAGAGTGAGATATTAATATATGAATCAAGATGAATTATTAAATAATTAGATCTCGTAAAATGTAGAATTTTATTTATCCATTTCTGAACTGATTAACTTGTGCTTTTCTTCCTTCAATAATCGAAACATTCTTTTCATTTCTATCCTATTTACTATATTATTATTTGTTATTTGTTATTCCTCCTATCATTTTTACAATTTGAATACTTATTACTTTTTAAATTTTTAAAGATGGACTTTACAACCATTTGCAAATAATTACTATTTCATTTTTATACTTTGGTTTTTTGTATAAACTTAATTAAATTTTAAAGCTTATATTTTGATTTAATTTTCTTTCTAATATATAACGCAAACCATTAATTTAACTACATATTATTACTAATATATTATGATAAATTAGCTAGGAATTCTTAAAAGATTGCAAAACTTATAGAACGAGGTAAACTGATTTTAAAACCTTTCAAGTAATTATGCTGCTGATGCGTAATAAATCATGTGACTGAAATTTCTGTACCAAAAATCACAATCATACAAACGCAAGCATACACAAACCAAAATGCTTTATTATGGTATTTTTTTTTTAATGCACTGAACACATCATATATGAAGGAGCACCACCTTAGCAAAAAAAGACCACATTCGTAACTAAAAACTATATCGCAAAGACACCGAATAAACCTAAATAAGTTTTTCAGTCAATCACTAGCATTATCATATTCAAAGTAATTAAGTTACAACAAATTCTTTTTATCCTCAATAAAAATTTTAACCATAAATAATTTATATAACAATCCACAGATTGGATCATTAAGCAACAAAGTTTGCAAGCTTTTGCAATCTTAAATTTCTGGTTAACATTCAATGAATGAATAATTCATCCGGAAAAGAAAAGATGACCTCAAGAAGATTATACAAGCTGTATAAGTCCAATACTCTTGTTGGCAGGATAACCGAGATATTATTTTTTTTCTGCAAGGTAGTCCACGGCCAACAATGAATGCTGTTGAGATGGAACGATTGTATCCTACAAATAGGAAAATTATAGGTTATATTTTTCAGAAGCATTTAAAGCAAAATTGCAACAGGAAGGGCAAATTTACCTTCGGTTTGGAAACCAACCACTTTGAGTTCCTTAGCAAGCTTAATATCGCATGTTTCATAATCTTCAAGATGGTTGTTGAGTGCGTCAACCATGCACCGACCAAGTTTAATTATTTCCCCCTGCACTTTTTCTGCGAAGGTTCGACATCAGAGTCCTCCGCATCTACATCTTCATAGCTCCTCTTAAAGGTAACGACTTCCAAAGGAACGGAAGGAGTCGCTGTAACATTCCCGCTGGGAGGCAAAATAAACTTTCGAAGTAACTCGGAGTGACCGAGTTCTTCGACGATCTTCTGGGCGTCTTCATATGGAACCCTATCATTACAAAAAGTGTTAAATGATAATTAACTTTTAAAATATTCGATCTTATTATAAGAACTTACCAGTCACCCTGATAAGTTGCATAACCTCCTTGTAAGGATGCAGCACGGAAGTCGTTTTCTTCGAAGTCACTCTGAGATGTTTTACAAACTTTCTTTTTAACCGCTCTCAGATTGATATTGTTATTGTCCGAAGTATGGTTTTCAATATAGCGCCAGACTGAATTTAAGTGCACATATCCGGTACTTGTGCTCCATCTGAGGAATGGCTTGTACCAAACCTCACTAATGGTGGGCTTTTCATTTTTTTTGCGCTTCATCGAAACGCTGAAGGCTAAAAAAAAAATTAGTGAAAATCTATGTGAGAAACTTGTTGAAAAAAATTTTTGAACATATTCAACTTAAAACTATAGCTAATCTAACTTATTAAAATTGATATCGCATTGAAATATTTAAATTAAACAATATTCAATATTGAAAATTTTTATAAAGTTGGAAATAAATTACTCATTTACAAATCAATGCAGATGATATTTTATTAAGATATTTTATACGAATAGATTTTATTTTTTTTTTTTCCTTTTTTTCTATTATATAAATCTATACGTGATTCTTTTATAAATGAAATTCTAATTACCTCTTCCAGCGGTAGGCTGTTCCTCACCTACTTCAAATTTCTCTTTATCAATACCGGGGAGAGGGAGCCACTCGACGTTGCTTTCTGCAAAAATTATCGCCTGCATTCTTTCGTTATGTTCTTTCTTGTCTACAACATGAATTGCAGGGGTTGCAGGTACAACTACTTTCGCCTTTCCTTTGTTATTGTTGGTAATCATCGTCATCGTCGCCAGTGAAGTTGCCTTTTTTTCTCGACGATTTGCAGTATCGCCACGATTCTTAATCTATTCCAAAAGTTAAATTTGCTATAACTTAAATATTTATTAAAATAATTTAATGATATCCAATACATTCATTTAACTTACCTCTTTGGCTTTCCCTTTTTCTTTAGGTTGTTTTCGCAGTGGCCATTCAAGATTATATAAACTAAAATGTCGCGAACACCTTGGACATTTGTAAGAAGTTATATCCGTCGGAAGTGGCGCAAATTTTTCATGACATACTCGGCAATACCTTTTCACATTATGTTTGTCGTTGAAGTTTGAAGGAAGTTTTTGACTATTTTCATTACGCGATGAAGTCAAGATGCCATTTTGACAAGACAAATCATCACTACATAAATAAGCAATTGACATTCTCGAAGTATTACTATTAGAGACTCGCGATCTATTTTCTGTTCCATTATATGCGTTTGCTAGACCACGCCACGTCGCTTTATTCTCTGGTATTATAAACTGCCGGGTTGTCTCTATCCCCCAAGAAATTCTAAGTTTTGGATTAGCCGTTAACATTACACCCGATTCTGGATCAAGTAAATTTATCGGCCGAGGTTTAGTAAATCCCGTTATTTCACTGACAGATGGTGCTATGTACTGTCTACTAAATCCAAGATTTCGAGATTGATTATACCTTGATGTGGTAGTATCTTCTCCATGGTTAGCAGTTACCGGTGCAATACTTGAAATTTGTTCTTTCGTTCCAGTAGTATGCAATAATTCAGATTCGCGCAGATTAATGACTGGATTCGAGATATTATTACTTGCATCTGTATTCGTAAATGATTTTCCGTTATCATTGGATGATCGAGGAAACCTTGATAAAATAGGATTAATACCACGACTTATATTAGGAACGAAATTTGATGCTGTTCTTGACGATTGTTCACTCATCGCATTGGATTGAATTGACAGCCCAGTTGTAATTTCCTGTTTTGCCCCAGAATTCGTTAAAGAAGTATGTAATAACATTTCAGGTTTATTACTAGATCGCTGTGATGATGAAATGGATGTAGAACTGCCACCTCGGCTTTCCTGAAAAACCGTATTTGACTTATTAGAAATTTTTGGTGGTTGAAAATTGTTTCCTTGAATAATCGTAGTTGACGATAGATTAATCCTTGATTGATCGCTCGTATAAGTAACGTTTTGAGTTGTTCTACTAGGAGGATTCATCATCGCTTCAAAAGAAGTATTAGGGCGCATACGAGTTGCCGAAAACATTGCTCTGAAACTCATAGGCTCCAAAAATGTTCGCTTTCTCATATTAGATGACGAATTTACAGGACGACCATTTCTACCATCTATCCTGATAGAGGTAGTACGTCCTGGAACGTTAGTATTAACGGTAGGTTGCATGCTAGTCGAAGCGGGACGTTCGCATACAAGTGGAATGCGGTCGTAAACGTTCGTTCGTGTTCGCATAGAAGTGACATGATCATCCGCAGTAGTATCAATATCCATTGATGTAGGTGACGAGGATTCTGTCTGTTGAGCAAAATTTGTATCAGACGTGCTTTGCAATTTTTTATTAACTTGATTTAAATTCCTTACAAAGCCACCCTTATTCCTCTTAGAATATGCATCAGCCAAACTTGAACTTTCTACTAAGTCGTCGTCATCGGTAATCTCCATATTTTTGATATTAACACGAGCAGGTGCAGGTTTACATTTATTTTTGCTAGTGTTATTAACTAATCAAAATAATATAAAAGGATATATGTTATTAAAATTATAAATTATTTATTAAAATATAATTTATATATACGTACAATGAATAGATTTGTTCCGACGCGTGCTGCGCCTCACAAGCCTGCCATCGTTATATACAAAAGGCCTTAAACCTTCATAGGCTGTGTCTTCCTCTGTATCATCTCTGACTTTCTTGAAGCCACCAGTTTGTTTCTGTTCACAAGTAACACAAAGGCATTCTTCATTGCCTTGGCCGAAATAGTTTTCGCCATAATGAGCCGTTAACTCTTCACCTACCGCCACATCTCTGAGTAATTTAAAAGAGATTGTGTTTTGCCCAGTCGCAATAAAATGTGTATTCGGATTACAATCATGCTAAATATAAGAAATAAGAATTAAAACCGTAAATAAACGAGTTATTTTACACCAACTATACTTACATTGACAAACCTAGCTGGCCCAAGGAGTAAGCACATACAGTCTTTTCTGGTCGACCACATTATACTGAAATCTCGTCCGCCTTCAAGAGCTCTTTCTTCTTCACTTGTGATCGGAACAAGAACCCCGGTGCAGAATCTGATTTCGTCACCAGCTTGCCATTTTTTTGTTGCTATTATGCATGCCTCTCGTTTATCAGAACCGGAATAACGTGGCGTTTCTGCTATTTCGCAACCTGCATTTGGTAAATACATTTCAAAGTATCTATTCGCATGTCTTCAGGACGAAAGGATGCAAAATCAATATAAATTATTTATCGCAACAACGTAAAATAATCTAGATAATTACGATATGAATTCTCTTTCATTCTCAGCAGTAACACCAGCAGCTTCACGAACGGAAGGAATCCTAAAAAAAAAAAAATTAAAAAAAAAATTAAGGTTAGAGCATACGACTTATAGTGGTAGTTTAAGTAACATAAGATCAAAATTAGAATTACTATGTATGAAGAAAGTATATTAACGGTTTACGATGACATTATCTTTCTCAGATAATAATCAATAGGCAAAAATTTCCCTTTGAAAAAAAAATTTTACATACTTGAGCAACTCCCTCGCTGCGCTAGATACTTTGTTTGGCTGGATTACATGGCGTTGCACGAGGTCGACAAGAACATCTCGCAAAACAACCGTCTCGCTATAATTTGGATTTAGTTTAAACGTTTTGAACCACAAGTTGATTTTATCAATCAACAACTCGGTTAAAACGTCGTCAAACTGTTGGGGCATATCTGACCCCATCTTAAGAAGTATGAAATAGGAAAGTAAGTAATTAGTTGTAAGTTCGTTAAATATGGTGAGTGAAAATGTAAAATGTAATGAATGAAAGAATGCTAATACTACAAGAGAGTATAAGCTTTGGAATTATAACGAAGAAAAATTGCGATTTTAGGGGCATTTTGGTATGGGGCACATGTTATATAAGCGGTACATAATGGCAATGTTTGTATCACCCTTGGTTTTATCCAATCACGGATAATTTATACTAAATTTTATTGGTCAAGAACTAACAATACATTTTTGAAAAATTAGACTATATATACTGCTTAAAGATTTAACATTAAATAGGATTACTAATATGTTTTTTAATATAATATTTTAAGGTTATAAATAATATAATCTTATATACTAACATATTAAAAGTATTAGAATAATTCTAATTTATGTTAATATCAATTATAAATTAAATTCTTTAATATAATAAAATTTTTTTTTATAATTTTAATATAGAATTAACTTTTTATTAAATTTACAAATTATTTAATAAGTTTTTAATTAGCATTACTTTTTTATTATTTAATGATTGAATTATGTTTGAAGTTGCAAAAATGTATAAAGGTTTATTTTTAAAATGATAGCTAACTTTAAATATTACAAAATAATTTTAGAATTGATTATGAAAACTGATTTATCAAAATGAAATATCTCAATATTATTTTAAGTAGAGCATCTATTAAGCATAAAATAAGCTTAATAAGAAGTAAAGATATTTTCATCTAACGTAAGAAAAACTATAACCCTTAGATTTTGTAAACTATTAAGAATTCTATAAGAGAAATTATAAGCAAAAATAATTATTTTCATTTATGTTAAAGTAATGAATCTATTTGTAAATATCAACATCAATTATAAAATTTTAAACTGAGAAAACAATATGATTATATTCATTTAGTACATTTATATTTATAATTATACTTATAGTATCATTATATATACCTTAATTAATTAACGAATTATTAAGATATATAATATAGATATCTAGTTATAAATGTATATTTAAAGAAAAGTATGTTTTTATTTTAAATATCTTATTAGATAAAGAAAAGCCAAATTCGTAAAACTAAAAAGTCTAATGGTTATATATAAATTAGAGTTTCAGAAAAATTGAGTTAATTCACAAGTCAAATAAGCTTAGTCAAGTTTAAATCAAGTTAAATTATATTATTTTGACTTGATAATTTGCGATCAAATTGAATTTAAGTCAAGTTAAATATTTAACTCAATTTGATTTAAAATTGACTCAAATTTGATTTAACTCAAGTTGACTTAAAACAGTATTATTAATAAATTAATATTTTTAAAATTATAAAAATTATAATATTATTAAAATATAGTATTAATAATAGATTAAATAATAAATTTAATATTTTATTTATTTTAAATAGTTTTTTTTTTATTAATAAAATATAATAAAAATAAAAAATTATTATAAAATAGTCATAAAATTAACTAACTAATCTAAATTTTTTAATACTTACTTCTTTATCTATTACTTTAAAAGTTTTTTCAATTAATATAATTACATTTATATAAAGCAAAAAAATTTTTTTTTTTTAATTTCAATTAATTAAGTCAGTGTTTGTCATGGAACATTGATGGAATACTGATGGAACATTGATAGGACATAGATAGGACAGATAAGACATTTGAGATATAGTGTGAAATAGGTTAGGATATATAACTAGGACATATAGCTGAAACAATAAATTTCTGGAATATCAAAAATGTATATCACTGAATTAAGTAGTAATAATATTAGATTTTTTTAAAAAAATAATATAAATTTACAGCTTTATTTCGCTATAAATTATATCAAGAAATCAAGAAAAATAAATAAATAAATATAAAATTCAGCTTTATCTTACTGAAAATTGTATTTATATAAAAAAAAGCTTATATAGAAAAAATAATTTAGTTCTAAAACTATATAAAAATTATTCTGATATTTTGAATTCTATTCAAATAAAATTATGAATTAAGTCTTTAAATAAATTTTTTAAAAAATTAATTTTTCTATTTTAATATATCAATTTATAAATACCCTACTGAATTGATATTTATAGCAGTCTAAAATTCTAAAAAAAAAGATAATTAGTAATCTAAATACCTTTAATAATATTGTAACAACTCAAGAAAAAGAAAGAAAGGAGGAACAAAATACCTGAATCCAATCAAAGTAGAAGAACTATTTGAGAGAATAGAAATTGAATTTGTTTGACCATTATCAAAAATAAAATCAAAAAACAAATACATATTAATAATAACAGATTATTTAATAAAATGGTCTAAAGCAAAAGTTATAAAAAAAGTAACTGCTAAGAATACGAAAAAATTATTTATAAGGAAATAATATATAAACACAAATGTCCTAAAATAATTTTATCAGATAGAGGATCATACTTTAGAAATAAAATAATTGAAAGATTATGCAAAAGATTTGAGATAAAACATAAGTTATCTTCATCATATCATTTATAAACAAATGGATTAGTTAAAAGATTTAATAGAACATTATGTGAAACTTTAGCAAAAGTATCAGAAGAAGAAGGTTAATAAGATGAATATATTGAATTAGTATTATTTGCATATCAAACTAATAAAAATAATATAACAAAAAGGACACTATTTTATTTAACTTATGGAAGACAGGCAATATTACTAATCAATAAAATACAGGAAAATAAAATTGAAGGAGAAATAGATGAAGAAAATAATTTACGAAGAAAAATCTTTAAAATTATAGAATTAACAGAAGGAATCACGAAAGCTTTAATAAATATCAAAAAGTCTCAAGAAAAATAGAAACAAAGATATAACAGAAGCATAAAATAGGAAATAATATTTAAAATTAGAGATAAAATCCTATTGAAAGATTTGGCAAAAGAAAATAATGGTCAAAGAAATTAATCTAAAATTAAAAAAGACCATATTATATTTATGAAGTAATTGGAAAAGGAGCATATAAAATACAAATTGTAAAAGGCAAGATACTCAAAATAACTAGCAATGTGAAAAATCTTAAGAAATATTATGATAAGAAAGATGAAACACTTTTAATTTACATTTAATTGAAATAATTAATCTTAAAGAGAAAGGAGTATTATAGGACTAATTAATCAAATAATAATTTGTTAGATTATAATTATTGAGAAAGTAATTTATTAGATAGAAAAATAATGATTATATAGGATAATATATTGAGGCACAGTAAATCTTGTAATTAGGCACAGTAGATGTTTATAGAACAAATATGGTTAAAATAGGTAAATTATATAATTAGTTAAATGATATAATTAGCCAAAAACTTATAATTAACTGTATTTAGAATATAAAAGATAGAATACAGAATATGAAAGATAGAAGACAAAATACTGAAAAACAGAAGTGAAAAATGAAAGTACTGACAGAAATAACAGAAATACAGACAATAAATATATACGGATGACTACAAATAACAGATAATTCAAAATTAGTCAGCTATATCATGACTATATCGATTATTATAGTTAGCTTAGTGTTACATGATATTTTTAAATAAATAGCCAAAGAAAACAACCAAGTTTAAGAAAAGATCTTTTTGGTTCAGTTAATGGTCTTTTAGAAAATTTGAAGGGAATTAGAACATTATTATTTAATAAAAACAACCTTTATCCTTAAACTTTATTTGTATTTCTTAAAGAATTAACAGTTAAGGACGGGTTTAATAAACTGAAAAAAATAATACAGTTCGTTCTAATTTCAAGTAAGCTTATTAACTTGTATCTTACTATTTGATATCCTTAAGGATCATTAAGTATTATGTGTAATTAAACTAAGCAAATAAACTAGCATAATAATGTTAATTGATTAAAGGTATTTTTCTAAAAGAATATCTTATTGTTCAATAAAATTTCTTGTCCATTCTAAGAATGGTGAACTTTTAGCTTTAATATGATTTGTTCAGGCTAATACAAAAATTAAATTAAGGATAATTTAGTAGATATTAATCCTATTCAATTCTAGATTAGACTGAATCAACCAAAAAAATAAATAGCCAATCAAAGCATTATTACAATTGAGCATATATTTAATTGATCAGATTGATGTTATTAAATATGATTAGCTTCATTTTTTTATAATATGAAATAACAATTATATTATAATATCCTATAGTTACAAATTCTTTTAGGTAATGAAGAAGAGAAAGAGGAAAATTTGAGTGAAAAAGAAAAAGATAACTTAATTTTACAAATGTTTTTAATATGAAAATCAAACACATAATATTTAAAATCACATATATATCATGTAGCAAAATCTAAACATTAATAGCAAGAAGTTTTTCCTTTATATGTCCCTAATCGATTTAAAAAAACTCTTAAGAATTTTTCCTTACAATTTTTAACACTTATCTAATCTAATATGCAGAGTTGTCTATT